CACACCACCACAGACACACACCCCGGGATGGCGGCGGTTGGGGCAGGATGAGGTGGCGTGTCATCGACGCTCGTCGCAGGGTGAGAAATGACAAAATGAACCCTCTTTTTGAAGTTAAGCCAGAAATGACCTACCTCCCAAACTTAACCAAATCTAACCCGGTTTCTCAATGCCAACCTCTCATGCATTGAACTTCCCTATGTCAGCACCATGTATCTTATTCTTAGCGTTGAAAAAAATTTAGCGTATCGCAATCAAAATGAATATTCCATGGGGTTGACACTCTCTCAACGCTGCACCGTAATTTTTGCCACCCTTGTGGGGTCAACACCATGGACTGTGCCTCCAACTATGCCGTTGACCTCTAATAGCTCAACACCATGGTATATAGCGTTGACCCTGGAACCTTAATTCATTTCGGCAGCGAACGTCGAGGTATGTGGCACTGACATAGCCAAGTTCAATGCCATGGAGGCTGGCGGCAAACAAAGGATTAGATTTGGCTACAAAAATTTAGGTGGGTCATTTTCTTAGCGGATTTTGAGAAAAAGGTCAATTTTGTTAATTCTCATGGTAGCGGAAGACGGCAGTTGTTCCAGGGCTAGCATGCGGGTTATCGACAGTGGGAAATGGCAAAATTTGCCCTCTTTTGAAAGTTTAGCCAAAAATGACCGACCTCCACAACTTTAACCAAATCTAACCCTTTTGTTCAATGCAAACATCTCTGGCAATGAGTTTGGCTATGTCTATGCCACTCACCTTACCGTTGGAAAAAAAGTAGTGTTTTCATGGTCGAAACGAAGGTTCCAGGGGCAACGCCATGGTCTCGGGCATTGAGCAAAAGGGTTAATTTTGTTATTTCCCATGGTCACTGGCAGCAGAAGACGGCTTGTAGGACGGTAGAGGGCACACAGTGAGTGTTTGCCGCTAGTTACCTATATCAAATTCAGTTGAGAACAATATTGCCAGTGGGACACAGAAGATATTCTGCTTCTGCCTGTAATACCATATGCTGTAGCTCCCACTAAAGGTGAGTGTTTGCAGTTAGTTAGTAGTTACACATATCAAATTCAGTTGAAAAACAATATTGCCGGTGGGACACAAATGTGTTTATTTATGTCTAGCACTAAACACCTAAAAAAGTAAGTGTTTGCAGTTATTTATGTATATGAAATTCAGTTCAGAACAATATTTCCAGTGGGACACAAATGGTATTCTGCTTTTGCCTGTAATACTATATATGCTGTAGTTCCCTGTAGAAGTGAATGTTTGCAGTTTGTTGGACATATCAGATTCAGTTGAGAACAATATTGCCAGTGGGACGCATGTGAGTGTTTTCAGTTAGTAGTCACATACTTCAAATTCAGTTGAGAAACAATAGTACCCGTGCTGTTCTGCTTCTGCCTGTGTAATAATATGTAAACAATAATCTGTCCCAAATTCAGTTGAGAAACAATATTACCGGTGGTACACCAATGCTGTTTCTGCTTCTGCATATGTAATACTATGTATATACTATAATCCAATATAAGGCTACAATTGTTCCAATTTGCTCGTATGTAAACCATTGAATCTGCCAAATCTGAGCTGAAAGTCGTCCTGCATCGGATGATTAATTCTTGTCTTGCTTGCACAGAGTCGATTGATGGAGCCATAGTGAGTCAGATGAACATCCTCGTCCTCACAACTCTGGGTGGTTGCAATTTCGGCAGCGTGGACTCGGCGTAGATGTGATCACCTTGCCTGCAAGAGGACATGATTTAATCTACAGTGGACTCACTGAGTTCAGTGCTTATGCCTCATTGCTATATACAGTATGTTGTTTTTCCTGTGTGTATGTAACATCGACTGTGTGGCTACTCCCTCGTGAAACTAAGAACGCGACACTGGGATTCAATCAACAGCTGTGACCGGTGTTCGCAAATGACATTGAGAGAGGTGGTGTCTATTTTATTTATTTTGTTTCCGTGGCTGCTTCTACTTTTCTGTTGTCCCCTCCTGCCAGCGTGACACAAAAAAAATGAGGGTGGTAGTTTGGTTGTTGTGGTGGTAGATACTAGATCAGCAGCGTACCTTGGCGCGAGCAGCGCGCCTTGCGCCAAGGGTGCCGGTTTCAACAATATGCCCATGCATGTAATGGTGAAGTTAGTAGAAAGTCAGGCTTATCATATGTATTCAATCAGGATAAAAAAATAAAAAAGAAATATTCAAGTGTAATCGGAGCAAGACATCATCAATAGATACCAAAACTACATATTCAAGTTCGGAGCAAGACATCATCAATGGATACCAAAACTACAGTACAACACATCTCCATAGCCACCAGAATGACAGTACAACACATTTGAAGAATGGAATGTTCATATACAGGGTAAATTAAAGGATGCAATGTTCATACACCGGTAATGGGCATGCGCGGTGGACAGGTCCGGTTGTCTTGAACAGCGGTGTCAGAGAGAATGATGACTCTCATTGTGTTCTCATTGAGCTGCAGCAGGCGTCGGGCACCACGAGCACCACCACGGCGGCCCTAGAGTCAATCACTTGGTCACCCTGCAAGCAATGCAGATCAGCGGATCAATCCATCAATCAACCAAAGAAGATGAAACTGGTCTGAACCCAAGGAACCAAATCAGTCAACCAAGTGTAACTCTGAAGAAAGGCCCTCGTTTTTACTGAGAAGCAGAGGGAGAGGGAGAGGGCCTGAATCTGAATGTTTGTTTACGACTTAATCTGGTGGATAAATCTATTTATAAGAAGCCTAAACAATTTGATTTCTTTTCTTTTCTACTAACATTATAAGAAAGAAACCCATCAGAACTGAACATTAAAGCACAGAGTTAGGAATAAAACATAATTAGCACCTCTTGAGGGTTGAGACTAAACGCTATATGAACCACGTACATACGCAATAAACCTCCAAGGTGAAGATCCAATTAGCATATCATGTCAAGACAGAATGATGCTTAAGCAATATAGCATGGAAAAACTATACTAAAAACGTGCAAAGCTTGCAAAGGAGCAAAAAGGTCACAATCTAATACACAGGTTCGGATCCATCATCATTATACTTACTCCACATAGAAAAGGAAATAGGAGATCAAAAAGACCATGAAATCTTACTCTCTCCATGGCCTGCCGCGGCAGGGGAAAGTCCTCTTGCAGACCAAGCCGGCGGCCAGCAACGTCCGAGCCCAACTCGATCATCTCCTGCAGTTCAAAGATGATAGAGAAGCAATTAGCTAGGATTAAGCATGTGAAGAGTGCACAACATCATCGAATATAATCTCGCCATAGGCGTGTTTCGCCATCATAATAAATCAATCCACAACCCAAATGGACCCAATGTTCACAATATCGGTTCCTGTATGCATCAAGCAGAATTCAACTCTAACAGAGGTTTTGTACCATTTTCCTTTACCCACTCGATTAAATCTGGCACTAACCAAAACTATGGCATTAACAAAACTATACAGCAGTTTAGTACCCAAAATACAGCTACCTATACACAATCCACAGAGAAGCTAAAAGGACCACCTCATGTGCATGCTAGTGACAAAGGGATAAACAGAAGTAAAACTGTTTGTTACTTACTCTCATGATAACTACAAAGTAAAGCAAAGTCTGGTGGGATCTGGCCTGAACATCAATATAAGAAGAACATAGAAAATGCCATTGGATAAAATAGAAGCTTGAGACCTTTATTCTAAAGAGGAACACCAAACCAACCAGAATGTCAGATACGATATCATCAATATAATTCAGAAGTAATGGAGTTTGCTACTCAA